TATTTCTAAAACAAGACAAGTTTTAATTGTTGCTATTTACATGCCCTCAGGTCAGCAGAAAATCCGAAGGATGTGACTAATTTATCTTTAACACCATAGTCTATCAGTCACGATAAATACACATTATAATCAAGACACAAAAATCTAAGTCGTACATTACTTCTAAGAACAATTATTAACAGTCCATTTCGATTCACTTCAGAACTTGTATATGGCACTGATGAGACTGAAGTAAGAACGTAATTGTATGCGAAAAGCAGTCGTGGAAAGCAAGACAACGCACCAGACAAATATTGAACCCACTAGCGGCGCTTGAAAAAGCGGTGTGGTACCCACATACATCCCGCAATTTTTTTCCCCGATAATCATCACGTGATGCATTTCATTTGCATAATTAACTAAACAAGATGGACGACAGCCGTTGGAACTGGATTTTTTTTATGGACAAGCCGCCAAAATCGTCAAAAAAATTAACATTTTAGTTTTGTTTGGTTCTGTTTCAAGTCGATGTCTCCAGCGTTACATGTGAATTCCTGATGGGCTTGTTAAGCTGGAGTTACTCAAGCTACAGCTAAACATATTGTCAGGCTGCAAACAAAATGTGTTCAAAAATCTCAACTCACCCTGCCAAACTAATTGGTTCCACTTACGATTTTTAAAACATCTGTCATTTCTCATCCGAATTTGATTTTCGTTATCAACATTTACATTTCATTCATGCGGGAGGCTGTACTGTTGCTTTTGTGAAATCACTTCCGCAATGTGAAGTCTAGTCACCAGTCCACAAACCCGGAAAATTAACAAAAAGTACAACAGGACGCTGACTATAGCCCCATTGTCAACCAGCTTTAGGCCTTTCTTTTGTTTGTAAACATCGGCGCCATTTTATATGGGCTGCCGTAAGCGCATGAATTGAAGCCGTCGTTGGCAACATATTTTTCCCAAAAAATCCTCATAATACCATCAACACATAGTAAAAAGGCATATGTAGGAATTATTTTGTAGCTTTGTTGAAAATGTTGTATTTTCAAGTATCAAATAATATTTTGGTGATCTGTAATAAGTCTTCTTCATTTTTGCAGCGTAGGACCTTCCATAGTTTTGCAGGAGGTGGTTCAACCAAGCGTAGAAGGGTCGCGGGCGTTATGCAGCATTGACCTTGTAGCGCGGCCTGTTCCTTACATGATCGGTAAATACGCTCTTAACAAGGAGTGAAAGGATGCATGAAAGGTGACAAAAGTAAAACATAACAATGAATGAAACTGCTGCAAACTGCTCCCTAACTGGATTGACCCAAAATATACAAATCAAAATATTTAGGGTCCTGATATTTCGATCTTAACAAAACCTTCGTCAGAGGCAACAGTGTTCGTGTGTCTTTGTATGCGTGTCGTATGAACTAGACTTGATTTCAAGTCGTGATGCATTCGGGTTTTTGTCCATAGGCCTCTGATAACATCTTTCAGAGCGGCGCTGTGCATTATGTCTTTTCATTTTCTGGCTGTCATCATGTCCAACGACTTGAAAAAATGATCGTTTCGAGAGTGTCATGTTCTTCCACGGCAATGCATTAACATATTCATCCTCATACTACAGCCATGTAATACGTCTCTAGCACTTAATATAGTCCTACGTGACGCAGCAAAGCTCGCCCCTCGTACGAACCGAGTGCATACTTGATGCACAAAATCGTCTTTGAATTTCAAAAACTTTAACTGATTCTTAAAGTTTTAAATAAGCATGGCTGATAAAGAAAACCCATTTCAAATGAACAGGCGCTATCCGCGAGTGTCAACGAAATAAATTCGGCAAACTTCTTCGGAAACGGGAGGCATGCCTCCTGTTTTGGTCACGTGCCGTATATTGTAGCGGTTTGATTCATCAGAAATAGGCAGAACCTTTTCTGGAACCCCCCACAAGTGCAACACACTAGAAAGTATTCTAGTCTTGGATCAAGAAGTTGTTGAATATATGACTTGAAGCTTTGTATGGCGGATGAGATAAATTATAAAGTTTTAACGTCGAGTTCTACACTCAACCAACCGGTTCTTATTTAGAAACACACTTCTTTCGAGAAGACATATCTTTCCAAATGGTGTGACCCGCAAACTTAATCATTTAAGTTGTTGAATAAATAATTCGATATGTGGTAATCAGCCGCTTAAGACCGGTACACATAACAACCTTAAATTAACCAAAGGCAGATTTATTGTCCGAGACAAGAAAAGGCAACCATGATTTTGCGATTGCATGATACTTGATACCAGTAACCTGTCATTGCTTAGCAAATATGTCTGTGCTAAGAAGATTTCTACGCTCAATGGCTCAATAATATAGTAACAAGAAATGTATGTATTATACAACAAAATCATAACTGTCGATTTAAAATAACCGTTGTGGATAACAAGTATTATTATGAAATAAAAATACCCGAAGTTCACAGTTCTGTAGATTAGGTATTTGTGATAATGGGACAGGGAGGTAGACAGGATGCTTACAGTGGCTTCGTCGACCGCATTGTCTCCAATTTCCTACGTACATGTAATTCGGGCGATTCACAATGCAGTACGCCACCAACAGTTTGCCAAGGAGAGTTCATTTCCCAGTGCATTGTGGGAGATGGTCGCCAAATTTGCAGCGCGCGCGGGGCATTTGAAATTGTTCGTTTTTCCGGTCAGTATAGTTTCGTAAGCGTATGATTCGAGTATCTGATAGCCCTTCTCTTTTCTTTTTATCAACATGGTGTTTTTGTAAGGCGGCTATGAAGCCCGGGAAGGGACAGGGTTGTTTTTTTTTTTTTTGTAATTTGCTAATTCGTTCCCACGAATTGATAACTCGTTCCCACGAATTACTAATTCGTTCGCACGAATTGCTAACTCGTTCGCACGAATTGCTATTTCGTTCGCACAAATTGCTATTTCGTTCCCACGAATTGCTAAATCGTTCGCACGAATTGCTATAGGCCTTTCTTTTGGTTGTAAACATTGGCGCCATTTTGTATGGGCTGCCGTAAGCGCATATAAATTGAAGCCGTGGTTTGCACCATATTTTTCCAAAAAAGTCCTCATAACGCCATCAACACATAGGGAATTATTTTGTAGCTTTGTTGAAAATGTTGTATTTTCAAGAATCAAATAATATTTTGGTGATCTGTAATAAATTTTCTTCATTTTTGCAGTGTTGGACCTTCCATAGGCCGTGGTTGGCAAAAATGCAGTTTGCCAACCAAGCGCAGAAAGGTCTATTTCGTTCCCACGATTTCCTAATTCGTGGGAACGAATTGCTCGTGGATCCGGAAACGCGTTAGTAATTTGTGGGAACGAGTAAGTTGATCCATTGATAAGAAATCCACAAATTATTTATTAAAGTCGAGACGCATATTATCTGAAAAAAAATCTCTGGTCCCCGGGTGTGATGTACAAAAAGTGAGTAAGATATTCAGAAGATCTTTCAGAAAACAACGGAGATTCAAACAATGCTCGTTTTAGATAAAATACACAGTACACCCTACACAAAATCTTTTTTTTTTCATCAATACATTTTGTTTCGTGTGCATGGCAAAAATAGAATACAAATAAAGCATAGTAAACGCATAATGTAAGGGTAAATATAGCAGTGACAAAACCTTAAAAACTTGTGCGTCGCTTGCGAAGTTACTAAAGACAAATTGTTTATATACACATTTTCACGAGGACATACAGTTTCCATAAAAACTTTGTATTACAAAAGACAATATTTATTTTTGCCCAAAGCTCTTAAAAAAATGAAGATGTTCTGTGTAAAATGTTATGGTAGGGTAATTATCATGCTTACGTAGGCCTATAATAGACATTTGGGTGGTCAGTTGAGTGACAGAGCGTTGGATTTGTAGTCATTACAACATAGAAGATATATCTGCATTTACAATGAAAATTAAAATTCACAATAAAATTAAAATGTTGATGTCTTTGAGATAATAGTTTAAAAAGAGCAGAGTACCTAGCAAATATTATTGAGGTACTCCGCAAACTCGGTTTTAAATCAGCCAGGACAATTGGTACACTGATACTGATAATGCAGCAAAGCTGGCTGCAGTAAAGAGCCACCCTTGCACGCATCGGCGTCACGAGGGGTGGGGGGCAAGGGGGGCGCCCCCCCCCCCCCCCCGGAAAAGCAAAAAAAAAGGAAAGAAAAAAAGAGGGAAAAAAGAGGCGCAAAATCATAAAAAGGGTGGGGGGGGGGCAAATGTCCTGCCCACCCTCGAAAAAAATGATCATTCGGGAAAATGCTGGAAAATATAGGGATTTTTTTTCGGGGGGGGGAATGGGCTTTGCCCCCCCCCCCCCCCGAAAAAAATCCTGGCGACGCCCATGCTTGCACGAATTCCGTATCGTTGTATATGTAGTTTCAACAGCTTAAAACAAATCTAAACACTATATAAACATGTACCAACTGTATTGCCTTTCTCCTTACACGTTTGGACTAGCTTGTCTGCTACCTCCACTAGTTCCGACGAATAAGAGCAGTTCGAAAACTAAACTGATCGCCAGAAATAGTAGATGTATCTTTAGCATATACAATTCGTCAGCGACACCACGAACAAACACCCAACTGGACTTGAGTTCGTGATTACGTGCGCGTATTTTACAGAAAAAAACGTGATTTTCATTTGCACGAAATAACTTCATGCATACACTATGCACTGAATCGGTCATTTTTCCTTGAAGAATACGGTAGTATTTCCGTACGGTAGTATTTCCGTACGGTAGTATTTCCGTACGGTAGTATTTCCGTACGGTAGTATTTCCGTACGGTAGTATTTCCGTAACAGTGTTTCCGTAACAGTGTTGTAACTTTCTGAAAGCGAAAATCGTTCGCGCCAGTGTCCTATGTGCGCGCGCACACTTGAGTGTTACTGGACTTGGGTGTTACTTCGTCGTGTCGGTGAAGAATTATTTACATTAAAATTGAAATCAGCAGGATTTTCCTTTATGAATATCGCTTGATTTAAGAAAATTGTGGCGTCCCAGACTGGTAGTGCTGCATTTCCGTAACTTCACTTTACTTGACACGTAACTTGACACGTATGCAGTCAATTTAGGAATTAATCGTCAGGCAAAAGAAGGCATGAATCAATAGTAAACCGCAACATCAGACATTGCATAAAAAATGTCAGTGCATTTCATATTCGTTTCCGAGTTTTCCATTTCTACCAGTATTGTAGAATTACAACATCGCCATCTTCAAATTTAAGCACAATCTTTGTGTCGTCCATATGTAGTGTGTTATCGCGCTTACCATCGAATTCGCGAATTAAAAGACATTTGCCAGTTGATACTTCCAATACAGAAACTTGCAGGTTGTCAAGCGCATGCAGTATTACCAACCTATCCCCGTGAACTTTATAGTCTTTCACTGTTGAACCGTATTTATTCAGTGGTGTGCCATCGCGGCTCCAGAATACCAAAAATCCAAAGTTTTCTTCACAGGCCCACCGCCGCGGCTTGAAAAAGGCAGCAATTCCCTTGTCGTTGAACAAAAGGAACTTACACGTGAAATTGGAATATTCAGGATGTTTCGTTGACAGTGTTTTCAAGCAAAAATCAGAGTCAGTTGTCCACACTTTTATCTCGCCATCACTATCACCAGTCATAATAGTGTCTTCATCAAGATGGCCACAGCGAACCTCGGCCGAGTGTCCCTTGTATATTCGTACATGCTGACTCGTTCTCGTATCCCACAGTATGAATGCAGTCTCATCTTCAAAGGACGTGATAACCCAGTGCCCTTGGCAAGCAAAACATTCCATTTCGCGCCTCATGGACACATTTAAGCTATCTGTGCAAAGTTTGGTCTCCGTACATGCAACATCTCCCCTTTCGACCGAGCCACTGATATCCCAGATATGTACAGGGACACCTTCAGATTCCCTTCCCGATTGAAGGCTGTATGAGACAATGACTTTGTCTTCTTCCATGTACAGACCAGACGGCGTGTATCTATCAAAGTCATTGTCGTGCCCCGGCCGGATTAGTTTCAAAACCTTGCCCGTGCTGGCCTCAAATACCAGAACGCCTCCCATGAATGCAGCGAATCCTATGTTATTCTTCAGAACCATTTTACGTACTCCTTGGTATGGTGAGGTGATTAATCCGGAGGTTTGAATCTTCCGTAGGAGACTTCCACTATTCAAATCCCAAAGTCTCACGAACCCAAGCTCCTCACCAGCCACGAATGTCCTGCCGTCACTTGATACACAATTCGTTTTCACGGCACTTAGTTCAGGCAAAGCAAGACGGTGCACCCAGTAACGCCCCTCAGACCAGTTCCTGTCCAGATGCCAAGCTCTCATGTACACCTCCTTCCATTCGCAGGTTGGTGCAAGATCCTTCAGGTTACAGTCGCCAGTAATGACTAAATCAACCTGAAATGTTGGACTGGCACCACTGTTGATGGTTTCTGTAGAGTGGATTGGCTTATCTTTGCGGAGATCTACTTCTGTACCAAAACGCTCCCAATCTCTCAGCTTACAATTATGAAGCCAGAGGATGTTGGTGTTGGTTACGTTCCTCCATGCCTTGCTGCATACAGCCAGGTGACACAAGTCTTCAACCGACAGAAAACCAAATATCTTCCATAGCATGTCATTTGGCAAGTAGTCGACAGGATCCAGAGAAATGGACTTCTTCCCAGTCGTTTGCCCCATCTCGTCACAATATGATCACATCTGGAAAGTAGTCGACGGGAACCAGAGAGCATGTAGATGGTTCAGAATGACCGAGAATGTCGATGTTGTCCGTATGTGTATCTCCGGGTGCAGAAGTCTTTTTGAGAGATGCGAGAATCCTTTAATGACAAAGAGATGAATTGAATTTATTCAACAAAACAGTCAACATTTAATTTTTCATGTTTTTACATTATGAAAGTATTCATCAAACAAAGTTGTACAGATTGATATCTGTAGTGTATTATTGGCTAAGTATCCGGGGAAACATCCGCCAACTACTGTGCATGTCGTTTCTCGGAGATGGTCTAAGAAGAGACCAGAGTCACTAGGGAAAACCCTTAGCTCTATTTCAAGACAAATGTTGTTTTTCTTTACACGCCCCGACCTTAGCTGAAGGTCCGAAGGATGTGACTAAAGGTTGAGTAAAATAGAAAGATACCCAAACTAATGATTTTTTTATCCTCAAAGAAATCAAATTTGAAACACCAATGAAAATATATCTGAAAAAGAGTATCTTCTTCCGCTCATCTCAAAACAGAATTACTGAAATGGATCCATGATATCACGAGTGATAAACGTTTTACTAAAAGAACCCTTATAGCTGTCCATGGAATGCCATTATAAGCTTTTGGGCTGGGTGAGTATACACTTAGTAGGCATTCATCGGTTCGTAGAACGGTTTGATCAGCGGTGGACGGGTGCGTACCTATGTTCCCAAATAATGTTCCCCAACACCTATATGTTCCCTAACCCTAACCCTAACCCTCATTATCTCTAACCCTAACCCTGAGGATTTTGGGGAACTTAGGTATTGGAGAACATAGGTTTTGGGGAACATCGGGTAGACCCCGTGGTGGACAGCCGAGTTTTGTGATCTTTTTGTTGAAATAGACATAACGTGGGAATAGGGTGTGCAAATTACGTGAAATGTTCACAGTTAAAAGTCAACAAGTTGTGCTTTATCCCTTTCTTATTTTACTGAAATGGAGCCAGCCAAATAGTTTTGTAATATTTTTCAAATTGGGTAACTTTCTTTCGGACTCACCCTGTATTTTATCTTAACACGGTAATCTACCATGCATGTTCACGATAAAATACACACAATACTCAGGCATACAAATCCAAGCCGTATCCCCATCTCAGGGCATCTAACAGTCCATTTGGATTAACTTCAGTACTGTTATGTGGCACTATCACTGAATCTAAAACTGAAATGTTTGCCATTAACTTACTCAGTAAAAGAGTTCGTCCATCGACTCTCTAGCTAAATATAATACTGCTTAGCTGCAAATTAAATGTGACCGGACAAAAATCTCAACTCACCCTGGCAAACTAATTCGTTCCACTTCTGATTCGACAAAAAATCTGTAATTCACATCCGAATTTGATTTTGTTTTTCAACATTTACATTTCATTACTCTGCCTTATTATTTGTGAGTCACTTCCGCAATCTGAAGTCTAGTCACCAGTCCACAGACCTGACAAATGGAATACAATACAACAGGATGCTGACTGTAATATATAACCCCATTGTCAACCAAGTAGTCATTGAGGGCGATATGCAGGTGTGACCTTGTGAGTACCGTGCATTTCCAGATCAGTGAACGTTTTCGTCTGCAGGAGGCATGATTACTACCGGAACTGAGATTGCCCTTTAACGTGTTACTTTATAAGAATTCCTAATATAGTGGTCAGCCCTGCTGTATTAGAGGGAGATCTGTACACCCATAAGGAGGATGTGGCGAAGTCCACTAAACAAGACAATCATCAGACGTCACACAGAATTTTCATGTAACGTGAAGCTGTAGCTGAAGCTGAATTAGTAACCCATGGAAAGCAGAAAACTACTAATTTGAGCAGTGTTATAGTAATACTAATACTAATGTGAGCTGTATGCTATTGCGTATATTGGCACAAACTCAAAGGGTCATAAAAAAACACAGACATTTCGAACAATAAAGAATATATTAACTTTTTTAGCTTGACGTCTTTACTTAAATCAGCTGAAACTCGGCAACTCCACTAAAGTAGCCATCAAAGTAAAAAGGCCTTCCAAGATCTAGGAGTCAAAATGCTCGGAGTTGAAAGTGGGAACTATCCCCGAAAACAATTAATTTGTGTAAGTGTATTGTAATACAATGTAAGAACTTCCCAGTTTAGTTGTGATTCGACGGGCGACCTGTACTGTGACCACCGGCGATTATAACGATTATATGGAAACCATGGCTTTTGGTTCAACTTTGCCGACGGTTCTGAGTAGGCCTACTGTCAGCGCAGTTTTTGGAAACCAGGCTTTACCCAGACTGCGCAGACAGTCTGTACATAGAACCGTCGGCAAAATTGAACTGGATTTAACTCTGTCGATCGTCTGCGAGATAGGTTGCGTCTGGCTGGGTTGTCGGCGACACTTCCGGATTTCAATATGTCTGCGTTGCACTATGGGTCCTGTTTGCGTTTCACTATGCTTGGCAAGTCACACGAAGTATTCTAGTCTTACGTCAAGACGCTGTTAAAACGTGGTCACACGCCGCATGAGGGCGGTACACCATGAACCGCTTCATCTCAAAATCCCAGCCTCCAATTCTCCTAAGGCATATTTAGAGTCTGAGAACTGCTAGCACCCACTGACCTTTTGACCTATGTCGCAGGGGTCAAAATAAAATATATGTATTCTCTTATAAGTGGCGGAAGCTCTGCGTGACGTGTAAACATGTATATTACATTCATTTGGGCCAATCAGACTGCAGGGAGGTGGCATTGGCAAAGTGGAATTTGAACTGTTCCAAATGTTGCCCACAATTTTTGGCCACAAAAACAAAACATTTGGGGGGACTAATTTGACTTTGGTGGCACCATTTTCACCCCTATTATACTACTCGAAAATAGGCCACATACATATCACACCTGTCAAATTGTGGGACTAAAGAAATGGCAAACTCTTGAGGGGGGGGGGGGGGGGCTAAAGCCCCCAAGGTCCCCCACCCCTCCCCCATTGGGTGCGCCACTGCATTGGCAAGGCGTATAGCAACCAAAAGGGCGTGGCATGTCCTCACATATTACATACATGTGTGATACTATCACGAGGTCAGGTCTGCATTCTATTGAGGACCACCATAATCATGGAATGATGTCCTTACATTGCAAATGCACTGCCTCTGTTTTCATTGATCAACTCCTCTTGTTCATTATGGTGTTCATTATGGTGCCATTATCGTGATGTTTCAACTTTTAGGTGCATCTGAGTAGGTTTATAGTTAAGTTTCAAGTATCCCTGAACTTCGCTCGTATAAGAAACGTGCACAAAAGGGTTTCGTATGGAGAAGACGAAGTACAAAGACATATTTGCTCTGCTGATGTGCTAAACCCCAATTAAAGTTTTAAAAGTAGCCTATTGGTACATGCCTTGAAATTCATCCCTTCTGTCACAAACTATGTCCCTGGTTGAACCCCCCCCCCCCTTCAAAAAAATCCTGGATCCACCTATGAAAAATCACCCTGACAAACTGATTCGTTCCATGTCCGATTTGAAAGAAATATGTAGGCCTAATTCTCATCCGAATTCGATTTTCGACTTGAATTTTACTTGGCAACATATTTTGTGCAACTTTCTCCTTTTAAATGTATGCAACTTTCTTCTTTAAAATGTATGAAAACATCTTGACGTCGCTTTTTGGTCAATCTAATTTAAACGTGCACTTCTTTAAGGATCCAACTTCCCCATGCTTTTCTGGAAAATGAGTGCACTGTTGCTTTGATGTCATTTTAGGAAGACACTCTTATGTTAACGGGTTTCTGTTCAATTGTGAACCCAGATTGTGAACCAAAAAATGGCATTTCTCAGCAACCCAAAGTGTTATTTTGATGATTTTTTTTTTCAGCATTTGAAAGAAAAAGATCTCAGCTTTAATCTGATACCCAAAACATACACATAATCGTTTTCATTATTCCGAAATATTTGTTGCGTCTGCATGGAAAAATAAAGTACAAAAAAGGCACAGCAAACGCATAATGTAAAGGCAAGTAATAACAGGTGGCAAAACCTATAAAGCATAGCGGCCGTGCGGGGCTTGTCAATTTACAAAAGACTATACGACAAACAAATTCAGCAAACAACTAGGCTCCATACAAACTATGCTTTACAGAAGACAATATTTGTATGTGTTTGCTTAGCCTAAAGCTCATACAGAATGAACGTGTTCTGTGTTAAATGTTATGGTAAGGTAAATATCATGTTTCGTCCGATTGCAGACCATACATTACACAATAGTATTTACATTTAGGTCAGTTGAGTGACAGAGCATTCGCTTTTACAGATAGATTAATTATCGACAATGTTGTAGAGATAAATAAGTCACTGTTACAATAGAAGACGTATCTGCATTTACAATTAAAATATTTGGACGTCTTTGAGATATAGTTAATAAGAAAGAGCAAAGGACCCCCGCAGAGAGCACTGAGGTACTCTGCAGGAGATCGGTTGTAAATCGGCCAAGACAATTGGTACACAAAAAATGACAAATAGCAAAAAACCGTGCTGACCAGTAAAGAGCCACCCTTGCTCGACTTCCTATCGTTATTCAACAACTTAAGACAAACCTAAACATAATATATACCAACTAAATGGGCTTTCTCCTCTCACGTTTGGACTATCTTGTCTGCTTTCTCCACCAGTGTGGATGGATAAGAACCACCTGATCGAAACCACACTGATCGCCAGAAAGATTTGATTTATCTTTAGAATATATGTATTTACCTAACAAAGTCATGTTGTAGTTCACAGGTTTTGAGAAGTTTCGAAATATACCAAATAGTACTAAAATCTTTCTGTAATTACTGACAGCAGCACGATTACCTTTTCTAAATATCGGAATTACTTTAGGTATGTTCAATCTGTAAGGAAAAATACATGTCACTTTTATGCATAATATTTATTCTAAGTTGACTTTGTGGTATCTAGACTAGTGTATTGCTTTCCGTTACACCACTTCACAGATAACTTTTCACTACCATCTTTTTTTATTGGCGTCGATTCGTTATTCTCAAAGTTACCCTGCTAAATTCAAGTTAAAAAAAAGGATACGAATGAAAAATCAGCCACCATTGAACACATATCCTTTCGTAAAAGTGTTTTAACTATTATTGAGCGAACAATCTTGACAGGTATGTGGCCAACGTATGCATATAATATGCATTAATCTTCAGGCAAAACAAAGAGACGAATCACACCAAAACGTTCTTGTGTTTGATTCTCTTTTCTATTTTTACCAGTATTGGAGAACTAGGCAGCTGCCACCAACATAGAATACCAATTTTGTGTCGTCTATATGTATGATTCGATGGAACTCCCGGCCGAGTTCGCCTTGTTTCCAAAGACATTCTCCAGTTGATACCTCCCACACTGATAATTCACGATTGTATTTTAGCCCGCTCCGTGCAACTAGTCTATTCCCATGCATTTTGGAGTTATACGAAGTATACCCTCGTACCTTGTGCTCGTTCAGCTTGATCGAGCCATCGCGACTCCAGAAAACCAAGTATCCTTTGAGGTCATATTGCTCGCCTACGAAGGCAGCAATCCCATTGTCATTGAACAGTATCAACAGTACGCGGTAATTCCTCCTAGGGTCAGGATGTATTGGAATTGTTGACAATGTTTTTATGCAAAACTCAGATTCAATTGTCCACACTCTAATCTCGCCAACACTATCACCAGTCATAATAGTGTCTTCATCAAGATGGCCACAGCGAACCTCGGCTGAGTGTCCCCTGTACATCCGTACATGTTGAGACGTTCGCGTATCCCACAGTATGAATGCAGTCTCATCTTCAAAGGACGTGATAACCCAGTGCCCATGGCAAGCAAAACATTTCATGTGTTTCCCTATGGAAACATTTAAGCTATCTGTGCAAAGTTTGGTCTCCGTACATGCAACATTATCTCCACCCTCGACCAAGCCACTGATATCCCAAATGTGCACAGGAATACCCTCATGGTCCCTTGCCCGTTCATGGCTGTACGAGACAATGACTTTGTCTTCTTCCAGGAAGAGACCACTACGTGTAGGCCGATACTCATCAAAGTAAGTCGCCTTGCCCCGGATCAGTTTCAAAACCTTGCCCGTGCTGGTTTCAAATACCAGAACGAATCCCTTGAATACAGCCACCCCTGTGTTATTCTTCAGAGCCATTTCATAATCGTTTTGGAGTGGTGCATTGATACATTTGTAGGGTTGCACCCTCCGCATAAAACTTCCACTCAAATCTCAAATCCCAAAGTTGTACGACCATACTATCATCACAAGCACCGAATGTCATGCCATCACTTGCTACACGTTTCGTCGACCATTTAGAGGCGCTTACTTCAGGCAACGCAAGACGTTGCTCCCGGTAACGCCCCTTAGACCAGTTCCTGTCCAGATGCCAAGCTCTCATGTACACCTCCTTCCATTCACAGGTTGGTGCAAGATCCTTCAGGTTACAGTCGCCAGTAATGACCGAATCCGCCCGAAAGGTTGGACTGGTACCACGTTTGCTGATCGTTGTAGAGTACATTTTGTACATTGGCTTCTCTTTGCGGAGATCTACTTCCGTACCAAAACGTTCCCAATTTCTCAGTTTACAAAGAGGAAGCCAGAGGATGTTGGTGTTAGTTACGTTCCTCCATGTCCTGCTGCATACAGCCAGGTGACACAAGTCTTCTACCGACAGAAAACCAATTATCTTCCATAGGATGTCATTTGGCAAGTAGTCGACAGGATCCAGAGAAATAGACTTCCTCCCAATCAATTGCCCCATCTCATCACAATGTGATCTCATCCGGCAAGTAGTCGACAGGACTCAGAGAGCATGTGGATGGTTCCGAATGACAGACAATGTCGACGTCGTTCGTCCGTGTATCTCCTGGTGCTGAAGTCATTAACGCCAGAATCCTTTAATGACACAGAGATGAATTGAATGTATTCAACAAAACAGTCAACATCCCAGGTTTCATGTTTTCACATCCTGGAGTATTCATCAAACCAATGTTCATAGATAGGAATCTGTAGAGTGTAGATTTAGGAAAGTCTCCCGGGGAAACATCGCACCAACTACTTGTCCATTGTGTCTCTTTTGTCCCGGAGATGATGCACCAAGGATAACCCTAAGCTCTATTTCAAGACAAATGTTGCTCAGAGTCCCTACAACCCAATTTCACATTGAAATCACTCCTACAAGTAGATAAAGCTCTCTTCTTTCATAAAATGGCACCAAATTAGCCAAAACGTACCTCAATTGTTCCAGAAAGATGAAAATTACAGAACATGATTTTCAACACGACTCTCGTGCTCGCGCCATTTTGAGAACTATGTGCTATTTTTCATGGATGTCTTATTTCGATTAAAGGTAGAGTCCATCATTTGCAGCCATCCGAAAAGTAACTGGCGTAATTATTGTTGAAAAACTAACTTGGTTGAAAGATAGTAAGGAGACTAAACTCCCTGTGAAATTATTCTTTCTGGGAAGCTGTCATTTTGAAGTAATCAACGAAAGAAGGCATTTCCAACGGTGATTCTTAAGAAGCACCGTAGGAAAATTTAAATTAGTAGTTCGTTTTGTTATTCAGCGCAGCGCGCACAAGTATTCGAACGACGCACACGCGCGCGCGGTTGTTATAATTTGTCGGATCAGTGCGCGACGTCGCGTATAGTTGCAATTCAAAACAATTCAAAACATGATTCAGCAACTTTTGATTTGAAATTGAGATCTTAGAATGCTGTTTTTCTCGGAATGTACAGCTGAAGCTTAGCTGAAACTTCATCAGGTTAGTTGCTCAGTATCCTTCATTAGATTTTGAACTCTTTTGTTGCTTCAAACGAACAAAATGCACAAATTACAAATGATGGACTCTACCTTTAATACTGCCCTCTTGTATCTTCTTAGTCGTTAAATATCGCCCTCTATTTACTAGATCTAGAAAGGATATGATACAGGTTTTTTTCTGTATCAAAATCGGTCAAGAAATGATAAAAACAGGTATTTTTTGCCGTTTTTGACAAAAAAAATCATCAAATTTCCCATTTTTTAAGAGGCTAGAGATTCATCGATGTGGGGGGGGGGATTCCTTGAGACCTAGGCTATATCATAAGCTTCTTTGTTTCTTTTTGTGTAAGAAAATGTGGATTTTGTTCCTGCGAGAGAATGTGATCAGGGCATAATTGATATCCCGCGCTGCCCTGATTATACAGGGCGAATTCGCCAGCCTCAAGTGCTGTTCCTTTAATGATGATAGTATAATGTGCAGTTATATGCTTGCATCGTACCAAGTATTGAATGTTTTTGTAAATAAACCTTAATGCCCATTTATGACCAACAGATTTAATAAAATATAGGAAGTTGATTTCATCATTATTTTGTTTTAATAAAAAAAAATCAATGAAATCATCATGACATAATTATGGGAACTACTCATACTATAGTGATAGGGAAAGCGGGTTGGTCAGGGATGGGGTGTGTTGGGGTGGGGTGAGCCGGGTTGGGGGTGTGTTATGGCGGGTTGGGGGTGACAAAGAGTGTGGAAATGGTGTGGGATTGGGTGGGGTGGGCTAGGGGTTTGTTAGGGTGAGATGGGCCGGGTGGGGTGTGATGATGTGGGGTAGAGGTGGATTGTGTTGGCGTGGGATGTGGTGGGGTGGGGTGATACTGACAGGGGTGTGGAAGTGGGGTAGGTATGTAAAGGTTGACTTAATTTGAACTTAAAATAAACAGTGTGCTAATTTCTATGTACACAGTCATTTCGACTTAAATGACGCCCAGAAGACTTCAAGGAGTAGGCTATGGTGTCTTTGGGAGGATATAACTCCTTAACAGAAGCACCTATGGCAATATCGTCTGCACTTTGCACCATTGTCTTTCTCCTCTCCAGAGCTTTAGTTTGATGTAAAGTTCAGCTGTATTTGAACATAAAATAAACAGTATGCTCATTTAATAAGGGACACAGTCACGTTGACTCAACACGACCAGAAGAATTCATTGAGTATGGTGTCTTTGGGAGGACATTACCCCTTAACAGAGGCAATTTTGCACCATTGTCTTTCTCACATCAAGAGCTTTAATATGATGTAAGGTTTAACTATATTTGAACTTAAAATAAACAGAATGCTAATATAATATGGGAATTTAATAAGTGAACTGACGACCAGAGGAGTTCATGGAGTATGGTGTCTTCGGGAGGGCATATTACTCCTGATAGGAAGTACCTATGCCAATATCGTTTGCACCATTGTCTTTCTCATATATCAAGAGCTTTAATTTGATGTAAAGTTTGACTAAATTGGAACTTAAAATAAACCGTATGGTCATTTCTAACAAAACAAACACGTTGACTCAAAATAACGACCAGAACTTCAAGAGAGTTTCACGAGTACGGCGTCTTTGGGAGGGCATATCTCCTGAAGGGAAACATCTATGGCATTTCTTTTGCATATTTGTCTTTCTCCCGTCCAGAGCTTTAATTTGCAGTAGAATTCAACCATATACTAAACAATTAAAATAGAGATAGGCCTTGCTAGTTAAACTAGTACGCCACGTTCGCGAGCTAGTGCCCGACCTGGTAAGTCAGTGTAACTGTACGATCGCCCTGTGCCTTTGGGGAACCGGAGCATTTTATGATAAACTGAACAAACACAAATTGATAAAGTAGGCGTAACTATTGCTTAACTCAACTTACCCCGGCATCCGACTTGTCCGATTGGAAAGAAATCTGTAATTCTCATCCGTATGTGAGGGTCTAGTCACCTGAGCACAGACACGAAAAAATTATACAAATTTACAACGGGATGCTGACTATATAGTTCCATTGTCATACAAGTAGCTATTGAGGGCGCTTACAGGTGTGATATGCCTATGCTTGCGATAACCGGAGGTTGTTTAGGGTGTAATTCGAGGACACACATTGAGTAATTGAGGACATTAGTCAAATCGAGGACTTGCAGCTTTTACGTTTACAACAATTTGGGCAAAGATAATGGGCCTACGCAGCTCCACCACTATGTCAATGTCGTTAAATGTCACAGCATGACCATATCTCTCCTCCGTAACAAAATCGAGTCCACCTACAGACTAGGTCGACTTTGACAACTGTTGAAGAACACTCTTATCTGGGCCTTTGCTTCTCACAAAAGCTTTCATGGAACAAACATATGGACAAAATTACTAATAATGCCAGTAAGATTTTGGGTCTCGTTCGCCGTAACTGAAAGCACTGCTCCAAGGACCGGGATGAACGCGCATACACTGCCTTTAGTACGTCCGCGTCTGAAATACTGCAGTTGTATATGGGACCCGTATACAAAAACCAACATCAACAAAATAGAAGCCATACAAAGACGAGCTGCAAGGTACGTCCTCAACAAATACCATCCCACTGAAAGCGTGTCTTCTATGATCAAGGAACTGAAATGGGAGTCACTGGAAACCCGTCGAAGAAACTCCCGACTATCAACAATGTACGGGATCTCTCACGACCAACTTCCATCCAAAAATATCTTTTTAACTCCAGCAGCCTCAGGAACACATGGTTATCATCAGTTTAAGCATGAATGTAGGAATAGGAGTTAGCACGAAAAACTCCCTGGTTTTAATCCATGGTTTAAGTACTGCCACATATCTACCCGCACCGACGTCTACAAATACTCCTTGTTTCCAAGAACAATACCTACTTGGAACAACCTCCCTGCATCAGTCATCTCTGCTTCCTTTTCCCAATTCAAAACTACCCTCAGTCCACCTTAGATATAAATCGGTGTTACTCGCAACCTTGGTGTGATATCCCGACGTGGGGACTTTGCCAAGTATCAACGTAGAAGTAGAGGTTAGCGATAAACAGTTTTAATATTTGAAAATCAATATAAAATCAACCATGATATATACCAGAACATGACCTTTGTGGCAATTGGTAGCATAATTCAGGGTCTTCATTTCTGTTATTGCGTGCAAAATCACGTGACCCTTCCTTCCAGTTGAAACCATAAGTGCCCTGTAATTCAAAAGATGTGAACTTGCTTTCAATGATATATGCTCTTGCCAAGTTGTTCTATACAAAAACAATTACGGTAATGCCATAACGTTTTACATCGCCCTTTAGCGGCATGTTTAAAAATGTTTGAATAATCAGTTGATGAGTAAGGCGTAGTTTGCTGAAATCAGTTTTTTTTTGTAATGATGTATACAACCAGCTTCATGCTGACTACAAGTTGAGGGGGGGTGGAGAGTGATGACGTCACCAGACCAGAAGTTACAATAAAAATACCTTTAAACCTTAAAAAATACTACTGAAAAATCAACCGCGAGAGATTTAATCCAGATTTTTGCTTCAAATCGCACAGAAAACATAGCTCTCAATCTTTCTGTTATGACATCACTATGACGTCATCAAGTATCAGATTACAAGCAACCACAGATTTCTAGAAGTAATCTTTGAAACTCTATATATAATCAACTGTGAGAGATCTGATTTTCCATTTTATGGGAGTTGATAGAATAATCCAGGATTTTCATTTTTGGTATCACGTGCAAAACCATGTGACCCTTCCGTAAAACAGGAAGTGCACTGTAATCATAGGCGAAGCCGGGGGAGGGGGATTTATCCGGTTTTGAACAGTGACCCCATCGACAGACGGTACCCCCCCCCCCTTCCTTCCGGTTGAAACCATAAGTGCCTTGTAAATCAAAATTGGTAAAAGATGTGAACTTGCTTCCAACGAAGTATGCTCTTGCCAAGTTGTTCTTCACAAAAACAACTTGACGTCATAAATTTCACAGCGCCCTTTAGCGGCAGGTTAAAAAAAATTTGAATGAATAATCAGTTGATGAGTGTGGCGAAGTTTGCTGAAATCGTTTTTACAAAAGTTAATGATGTATACAACCAGCTTCATGCTGACTACAAGTTGGGGGGGGGGGGTGGAGAGTGATGACGTCACCAGACCTGAAGTTACAATGAAAATACCTTTAAACCTTAAAAAAAAAATCCTGCAAAAATCAACCGCGAGAGATTTAATCCAGATTTTTGCTTCAAATCGCACAGTAAAAATAGCTCTCAATCTTTCTGTTAATGACATCACCGTGACGTCATCAAGTATCAGATTACAAGCAACCACAGATTTCTAGATTTAATCTTTAAAAATCTATATATAATCAACTGTGAGAGATCTGATTTTGCTTTTTATGAGAGTTGATAGAATAATTCAGGATTTTCATTTTTGATATTACGTGCAAAATCATGTGACCCTTCCGGTAAAAACAGGAAGTGCACTGTAATTATAGGCGTAGCCGGGGGGGGGGGGTAATCCGGCTCTGAACAGTGACCCCATCGATAGATGGTACCAACACCCCCCCCCCCCCCTTCCCCCATTTTACGGAGGCCAAGTGTCCGGAGAAAAACTTGACTACATTGCAGCACGGATGTGCAAGTGCCCTTTTTAAGAAATCCTCCCCCCCCCCGAAAAAAAACGACCTCGCTACGCCACTGATAATTTCTTAAACTACAGTTCCGATTGGGTTGGAAGTTGGTATGTACCTAGACCGGGATATGATAAAGATGATATTTGATGTGAGGTCATGATGACATCATCACGTGACGTGTTACGTCACAAAAAAGTTGCCAAAACAGCCGTGTCTGTCCACAAACATAAGTCTAGTTATATTTTATCTTCTACAGACAGATCACGGGATGTCGATTTCCGCAGGGCAGTGCATTCAGTCTTCACTCTCCCATTATGCTCATTTCAGGTTATTTGAATATATATTGTTGGTAATAACTAAATAATCATAAAATTATTCAAATATAATTCATCATAAACATCAGACTGGTCTTATTACACCAACCGTGTGCAGAAATGAAAAGGAGATTTATGTATTTCTGTCGAGACTAGTCGAGTGCTTCACTTTGCGGCATGTAAGGAATAGTATCCAATGAACGATTTCTGTAAATTGTTTCCTGCACCGGATCTAGGCTGGTCAACTAAATTCCCACAGAAGAAAAACATAATAAACACTAAAATGTTCAAAATTGCTGTGTATAGATATATTTACCAAGAACTCGCCAAACTTTCAATGCGTTCGGAATCATTAAATCACACATTATCATGAAGGGCAAAACCTAATATTGAATTGACATCTCCTCGATGCAAAATCCTTCTTTTGAATAGCACACATTATCAGTTGACTACAAATATTGCAAAGTCAATAAAGTGCCGCTTTTATAAAACACAATTTTTGTGTCATCACTGTGTATTAAGTCCAGCTCTTCAGGACCAATTTTTTTCCTATACAGACATTTACCAGTTGAGACATTCCATACACAAAACATATTGTTATACAGTTTCTGAGTGACAAGTCTACCTCCATGAATTCTGCCTGTCCATTTCACTTTGGACCTTTGCTTGGTAAGCAGAGTGCCATCTCGGCTCCAGAAAACCGCTTGCGTGATACTTAGGGCAGCAATACTGTTATCGTTGAATAGTAGTGTGTGGATACGATTAGTAGGAGATGTTGACAGTGTTCTCATGCAAATGTCTGATTCAGTCGTCCATATTTTTACCTCACCACCCAAATGATTCGCTGTCATAATGGTGTTTTCATCTAGACAAGCCCAACGAACCATATCAGTGTGTCCCTTGTACATCCGTACATGCCTTAGCGTTCTTGTATCCCAAAGAATAAATGCGGTATCATCTTCTTCGAAGGACGTGATAACAAAGTGTTTACAGCAAGCAAAACATCTCAAGTATTTCTTTGTGAGCACTTCACTTCTCAAGCTATCAGTGCAAAGTTTGGTCTCCGTACACGTACCATTATCTGCCCCCTCCACCAAGCCACTGATATCCCAAATGTGTACAGAAGTGCTTTCGTTGCTTTCCGCTGACAAGCGAAACTCGTACGAGGCAATGACTTTGTTGTCTTCAAAATGGAGATCACGGGGAGACAATTCATCAAATGTACTCGCTGTTCCGCGAATCATTTTCAGGACATTGCCTGTGGTACTTTCAAATATTAGAATGCCTCCCATGAATGCAGCCACCCCTATATTATTCTTCAGGATCATTTTTCGTATTGACTCTTTGGCTCCATAGTACGGCGGATTGTTTAATTGATCTACCGAAACAATTGATTTCGTGAGTTGAATCTTCTGCAGAAGGCATCCACTATTTAAATTCCACAGTCGCAGGTACCCAAATTGATCACCTGCAGCGAATGTCCTGCCATCGCTTGCCAAATCTGTCATATGTTTATGGTCAGACAACACAACACGATGCTCCTGGTACCGCCCCTCTGACCAGTTCCTGTCCAGATGCCAAGCTCTCATGTACACCTCCTTCCATTCACAGGTTGGTGTAAGATCCTTCAGGTTACAGTCGCCAGTAATGACCGAATCAGCCTGAAAGGCTGGGCTGGTACCACTGGTGCTGGTCCCTGTAAGTTGGATTGGCTTCTCTTTGCGGAGATCTACTTCCGTACCAAAACGCTCCCAATCTCTCAGCTTACAAAGATGAAGCCAAAGGCTGTTGATGTTAGTCACGTTCCTCCATGCCTTGCTGCAGACAGCTAGGTGACACAAGTCTTCTACCAACAGAAAACCAATTATCTTCCATAGGATCTCATTTGGCAAGTAGTCGACAGGATCCACAGAGCATGTGGATGGTTCGGAATGACAGACGATGCCCCTCGTATATATAGGTGTCAATGTTTCTCCTTCAGCAACAGCCATTTTGAAAGATTGTGGTAGAATGGCAATCCTGTAAATCACGGAGAGAAAAAAATATTTTCATGCAATAAAACACCAAAAGTCCTGAATATTTTCGCATTGTTTTCAGACACTTTTGAAATGTTGCTCAGTATTTGCAACGAAAAGTCTCATGATCTGAGGCTATAATATAAGTAGGAAAGAATGTTGCATCCTGACTCCACTTCAACAAAGTCTATGGAGAGTCAAGAAAAAATTCAAAGTATTTCCTACCAAAATTGGAAATGTTTCTCAGCCCCAGATTCATGTCTTTTATCATTTTTGCAATGACTGACCTTTATTAGGATGATATATGAAGAAAAACACAGCGCCAGATTGCAACAATCTTTCCAATATGTGCAATGACCGACTGTTTATTGAGATGATAATATGAAGAAAAAAGTGGGGTCATGTTGCGACATTCTTTCACACAAGTCACAAGTAGTTATGTAGAGTCTGTAATACTACTCTTACTTTTTGTTTAATCCAACCAAAATTTGACTATTAAATAGAATTTACTGGTTTATTTTCGCACAAAAATGTGTTTAAATTCATTTTGGCTTTTGCCAAGGACTACGTTCCTTCCTTTATGCTGGAACGCTGTACACAGTTGCAGTCTCTGGCAGGTCGTAAGCATGGGCGTCGCCAGGATTTTGTCTAGAGGGGGGCAAAAAAAGAAATTTGCCGAAAAATGCTTGTATTTCTCAACACATTTTCGATTTATCAGTTTTAGAGGGGGGCAGAAACATTTTGCCCCCCCCCCAACTCATTAAATTTACACCACTTTGTCTTCGCGAATCTTTTTCTTTTCTTTTTTTTCTTTTCTTTTCTTCCTTTTTTTTTTTTTTTTTTGCTTTTCCAGGGGGGGGGGCAAGTGCCCCCCCCCCGCGACGCCCATGGTTGTAAGCCGTGTCTCTTTCACATGGTCGGATTGTACTTGGCTGTGGCTTGAACTTTGCACACGTGTCTACATGGATGGTCTACGTACGTACGTATGTAGACCCGTGAACATAAATTAGCGAAATCGTCCCTCTATGACAAAAACTGCACATTACTTTACCGTGTGATAAGTAATCACATACGAAGCTTTCTTGAAATCTGTTTTTTACGCCAAATCTTGCATTTGAACGAAATTTGGGGGGAAATCTTACCCCAACCTCGTCCATGCAACCTCCTGACTGACTGGACTCACACCAACCTCGTCCCCAGTGCTTACTTTATTTCCCAACTCGTTTCCAATAGTAAGCAGGAACACGGTCGAGACGAAGTTGGACTTTCCCCAACTGACGCATGCGCATTGTGTTATACCGTCTTGTTTTGTAGGATTCGACAGCTGTTTTCCGTCGCAGCTAAAATAGACATTTTTTTAGACAAGTCTCCAGTCCTTTCCTCTCTCACCGCACCCGTACACGGGCGCACATGCTCGCCGTGCCCGTGACGCGAAAATAAGAGGAAATCTTATTTTTATTTTTCTGAACAAATGACAAGGACGTACTTTATAAATACAAGGAATTCCTAAGCAAAACCTGCAAAACAAATTTACACCTCACGTTTAAACATTTAGTTCTTGTGCTTACATTTATTTATTCAACAAACAGGTGGATCTGGCTTCCTATAAATTGAATTCATCATATGAGAATATTCTTGTCTTTTTCACTTTAATATTCAAATTTTACTATAATTAAGTTAAAAAATGAGGTCATTACACTTTTCACCTCTTGTGCCATTACATTGGCAAAATTGAACAGTTGCTCTTCATGCTCTAGCTTTAATACACTTGCTACTAAAATCAGAAGAAAAAAGAAAGAAAAAAGCTGATCTTGTTGTTGAACTGGGATATCAATTCAGTTAACCTCAAAGACAATCCAGAGGTCTTCTTATGGACAAAAAAGATGTAGTAGCCGTCCTCCCCACAGGATCTGGGATACGACATGAAACACCGTCAATCTGTCCAAGCGACAACCTAAATGATAATAGACCTTTCTGCGCTTGGTTGGCAAACTGCATTTTTGCCAACCACGGCCTGCAAACTATGGAAGGTCCAGCACTGCAAAATTGAAAAAGAGTTATTACAGATCACCAAAATATTATTTGATACTTGAAAATACAACATTTTCAACAAAGCTACAAAATAATTCCTACATATGCCTTTTTACTATGTGTTGATGGCGTTATGAGGATCTTTTTGGAAAAATATGTTGCCAACCACGGTTTCAATTTATGCGCTTACGGCAGCCCATACAAAATGGCGCCAATGTTTACAAACAAAAGAAAGGCCTATTAAGTATTATGCGTCACATGAAGCAGACAACTTGTCCAGTTATTTTGTATTTCTACACGTTCGTATATGGGTCTTCATTTTTGGCAAAATTCTTCGAAATAACAATCCTGAACGCGCGTGAAGGCACAAAAATATTTCTAGGTAAGTACTCAACCTGCATACGAAATGATGTACCGCGGAACAATTTCGCCAGGTTTAATAATGACACCGGAACGTGGCGTTGTAATACAAGTTACAACGCCACGTTCACGGCTCTAAGAAGTACGTATGCAGCCGCTACCAATACATACTCGTCTCGTTTGGCCTAAATATAAACGTGGTCTTAAAAGTAGGTAAATACCCACTCACTCTGTACACTCGTTTTCCTTCTGCTATTTCCGATGAAAAATTGAGAAAAAGTATACACTGCAGCCAGCACCGCACCGTCGATCGCCACTCCCAGTGCAGTTTGGTTGGTGCAGTACAGTCCGTGTGGAAATTGGTCTAGTGTCCAGCCTATGTACACCGTACCGTGCATTGAACAAAATGCAAGATAGGATGCTGACTAATGTCCCGTACTCAACCATGTGACTATTGAGGGCGCTTGACGTTCTAGCCAGTCATCACTTTCCGTTCTCTGAAGGAGAAATTCACATTGTTTCAAAATGTCTCTCGCGTTTTTTTCTCACTCAAGGTGAATTTCTTAAATGATTGTTTGAAAGGTTAACAAAATCAATATAAGAAAAATGTTAGTCAGGTGGTTTTTTTGTGTCACGGTTGCAATTAATAATTGTTTATTTGAATTAAATGTTATACTTCTTAGTGGAAATATTTTTAAACAAAAAATTATCATCTTAATTGCGTATATATTAATATGAATACATCCATTTTTTTTTCGAAGGAAATTTAATGTACATGATAATACCGTGACATTAACGAAGACATTGAATGTTGGAAATAAAACTTGTTTACATCCAACGCGGCACCATACGGGCCATCGATCATCTGAGCCACCCCCAGTCAAATCCAGAATGTGATCTTTGTTGCGGTATACCCAAGTATAAATTCGGACGCTTGGGTCGCTGTTTATGAGGTTTCAGGCGCCTTTCCGACAGTTTTATTGTCAAATATACGGTAAAAATAATATACATTTACTTCACCACTTTTCTCTCTCTCATTTCCCCATTTCTTTACATTTTCCCCTTCATTTTGATCATCCGGAGTTGGTGTGGGGGTGGGGTAGGGTGGGTTGGGGGTTCAAGTATCCCCCCTCCCCTACCCCTCGCGACGCAAAACGAATGAGCCCACCAGTCGTTGGTGTACAGTGTAATGTACGGTACATACAAATTGGCGTACACAGGGGAGTCGGAACGCTTTTCAAACTGGGGGGGGGGGGGGGGGGGCAACACCAAAAGGGGGCACTTATCCAGAAAAAGGGGCACCTTCCGTTGGTGCCCAAAAGTGGGTCCACAAATTCACAGCCCGATTAAGGGCCCGGGGGGGGGAATATAATTTAGATGCTCTGTGGTGCGATGTAAGGCAATTTCTGATCACTTTAAGCAATTTTGGTGAGAAGATGGTGATGCACGTAGTTGCTGCATTTTTTGGGGGGCATGGCGCGTTGACCCCCTCCCCTCCCCCGGATCTGGGCCTTCGGCACACTGCACACCTTCTGCCCCGGCCCCGGCAGTAACCCCTGTGGATCCGCCATGAATTTGACTAGCTATGTAGAGAGACCATTTTTTTTTATCGCGAGAGGGGCACTTTTGCTTTTGATGGCCAGCTTAGTAACCATTCTATTCGCGTGAGGAGGGGCACTATTATATTTGTAGGACACTTTTCCATGAGAAAGGCACCATTTGAATGGTGCAAGCAGGGCACAAACACAATTGTGCTTTCGAGGGCCGGGGTAGTTTTCCATCTCGAGAAGGTGCACAATCTTGTTAAAGCGTGAGGGGAACTTGTGTTTTTGAGGGTCAGTTTTCCATTACAAGAGAGGAGACAATTTTATTTGAAGCGCGGTCATAATGCTTTCATTGTGTGCGTTTGAAGGGCACTTTGGTTTTCATCTGGGGGGGGGGGGGCACTTTTATAACCGCGAGAGGGGCAGTTTTGTTGGCCTGATTTGCAAGTAAATATAAAAGTCATGCAGGTGCACCTTTTAGTTGCAGTCAGGATTTGAAGTCATTATGTGTGTAGCATCGATAGTCGAAAACGAAAGTGTCTGTATATCTTCTGTGTGGACGATTACTTATCATGAAAACTTATACATATAATGGCCAGTCCATCTAACCAATAGATATCCTATCGGCAATTTAGAAAACATACGATGTCCATTACTTGAAACATTGCACTTTTTATGGGCTGGAAATTAATTAAGAACGCTGTTTTTAGGAAACACAATATTGTCAGGTCGCGCGTCGTTGTGTGCAGGTCGTATTTCCAAGTCACCGTCATGATGATACGTGTAGATTATGCCTCAAGGATATCAACCTTGTATCCATACATTCTAGCAGTCGATCCAGGGGTGCATGGCCAAAGTGGGAATAATTCAATTTACAGCCAATCAAATTAAAGCTCTGTATAGGTATAAAGGCTGCGATTGGCCAACAGGGGTTACTTAGCGCGCGCTCAATCGCTTCCCAACACAAGCTTGAGGGTTGGACCTACCTAAGTTCAAGAGCCCCGCCCCCAGGGCAAGGTAAGGAATAGCGTGTAACGTAATGCTTGGGGTCGATGTTTGGCTTGGAGTATGTCATGGTTCTGGAGATAGTAGCTTGTAATGAGGTGAAGCATCGAGTTTCAGCTGGACCCCTCTCCTCCCATTATCTCATCTCTGTGGAGGGGGACCAAGGAGCCAGAGAGGAGGCAACTTCAGGCCAGGTAGATCACACACACACACACACACAAAATCATTTTTAGACCACTTCTTACTTTAAAAAGATGCCACGGGTGAACTCATAATCATGTGCATACAAATCCAACCCACGCCTGAATTCACGAACTGAGAAAAATCCTCCCTCCCGATAAAAATCACCCACAAAGAAACTCGTGCAGAGTGGATGGAATCAAGATTGATACATATTTTAACCAATATGGTCGGCCCTACTTTTCTATACCATTTCGGGTTCTAGATGAAGACTTGGAGGTGGGTGGCTATTAAGAAATGTAACAAAAAATATATATATATAAAAAATAAAAAAAGGTAAAAAAATTTAACAAAAAGGAGAAAAAAAATGAAAATATTCGGCATGCAGAAAAGGGGAGAACATTTTAAGTCAAAGAAAAGATGAACAGGTCATTTGGAAAATGATAAAATATGTCAGGGATATAAAGGAAAAATCTGCTAAATCGCAATACAGGAACCCTTGTTTTCGGTTGTGGTAGTGTAGATTTCATCATTCGGAATCGGGGATATGATATCGCCTAACGCGTGGCAACGCCCTCCCTCGATCTCCGGAACTAAGCCTCCTTACTTGACATTTTCAACCCACAAAACTGGAAGTCCTGTTCAAACAAATCCCCCAACCCAACCCCACCGTCCCCCAAACAACACAGTTCTACACTCATCACATTGTATTTATCACCGAAAATGAACCCAAAGCTAAATGATGGGAAACTGCTTCTCTCCTGGGACTCGAAGTAAAAATTGACTGGAAAGCGGAGGCAAACAAAGAAGAAAACCCAACGACTTCATTGTAAAAGCATCACTCCGCCATAATGGTGTGCAAAATAGAAACACAAGGCTCCTCCTCTGGATTTAGTTCATTTCGTATTCTGACTATGGGACCGCAGATTCATATCTCTCGGCAATTTTGCAAGTACATTGTACTTTAGCGAATATCTGAATAAACCAAGGCAAATAAATAGTTGCTTGGGCATTATCTGCGACGAACGAGGGGATGGTTGAGCGACAATGTGAAAAAAATAAAGAGTAACTTAGCTTACTCCCTCGCTTCTGATAATGCAATAATGATGCACTTTTTTGCCCCTCACAGCTTATAAATACACAACCGGCCAAAAGCACATGCAGCCAAATACCCTTACCTTAAATATCATTTGCAATTCTCGTTTCTGATAATTTCCAATCATTACGGGCTTACGGGGGAATTAATCCCCGTGAATGGACTTGAGATTCTAATCACTACCACATGGTTCTTGTATCATATCAATGGTCATTGCACCCGGTATCCCGTCAATTCTTTGAGTTATCAAAATGGAAAAACAAAATGTTACTATATGTACATACACCACGCACAGCAAAGTCCCTATGGGCAAATTCCGTATACTCAACACAGTCGATGGGCTGCACAATTATAATGATATTGCGTGAGATGTTTTTTTCTCTCTGTCTTTTTCATGAGTCTAGATTGTGAGTAAGTGGAGTGTATCGGCAACATGCGCTGAATCAATCAGATTAAAGCCTTGTAAAGTAATGCTTTAATAATCAAGCGATTGCCTTTACTGGGCATGCATGTCCTGATGGGCCTTGAGGGACTGGAACGGTGCATGAATGACCGCCGCCTGCCATTTTGTCCTCTGTGTAAGGATTGCGAAGTTGAATGTCCGCAACTTGAAGAGGATGTCCTCAGTGTAGTTCGCAAAAGTCGTCTCCCTCCTAAAGTCTGTCCGGGTTAGTACGACTATGCGCTCCTTGCTCGGTTGAAAGCATATATAGGTGAAATTCCGGGAGCTTCTCACATTGCCTTGTCTAGTTCCCAGACCTATTTATTTAAAAACTCATGGTTCTTGGGTCTGGCGTGTTGAATGGTAACTCATCGCAGCCTATAAAGACTGGATAGCTAATAAAGAGCCGCACAATGTACGAATTTGACGCCATATTGGTGAGACCGGCTGGTGATCTTCAAAGGACAAGTTGCCGTCTTTATAGACAGCTTGATTTCTTTTGTAACGTCGCGGCTCACTTGACTTATATTTTGGCCACCACCACTGACCAACTAACCAAGGTTTACTACATTTTTTCTAACGTAGTGGTTACTTTTATAATGCCGCAAATCACTTTTTTCGGCGTTTTTGAAATAATAATCACTACGGAAATGTGTTCCTTTTAGAACATCATAATATGTGTACGTGACCAAAATGCGCGTAAACTGTTGATACAACGCGCGCGTATATTTACGCGTAGAACGTTCGTATTATACGCGGCCATCTTCGTGAGACCGGGGGCGAATTGGTCAATATGCAAAGTCTACTGTGTGATTGTTGTATGCATATCCGCTATCCAGTCTTTATATAGAGATCAGTGGTTGGAACAAGCGCGGGATTACGTAAGTCCTGCATCGCTTGAGCGAATCGGAGTAGTCGGCATTTGGTCTGACCTGAGGATCTACATTCACGTATGCACAGCCACGGTCGAACGTCTTATACATCCTAACATGCAAATTGTACTGTGCACGACCCCGCGCGCCAACCAATCGGAGTCGACTTTAAAAGTTTGACGTCATTTCGATCAGAAATGTGGACTAAGCTGTTGATTGGTCAAT